GGAGGCCTGAAACTACGAGCAGATGGTCATCCCCGCGTCCCGGCTGAGCCCTGCCTGCCAGCTACCGATTCTGCCATACCCCGGGCATGTGACTGAGCCGTCCTGGGTGTCCCAGCTCAGTGGCGCCCCCAGGCGATTGCAGCCCCAGCTGCCGTCTAACTGCGGCTGCATGAGAGGCCCTCAGGGAGAGTCAGGCCAGGAAAACCACCCGGCTGAGCCCCGTCAACACTCAGAGCTATGAGAGATCATAAAATGGTTTAAGCCATCAAGTTTTGGGGTGGTTTGTTACACAGCAATTTGTAGCTGACACAGTGTGTCTTTAGGGGAGATACGCGATAACTCTGGACTCCAGGTCTGTCTGGCTATAGGTTGATGAGAGGAATTTGTTTGCTGGAAACCTGATGTGTTAGAACATGGGACTTTCCACTCAAACATGGAAGTGCAAAATATTCATCCAGATGATATGCGCGTACGGTGGCAGAGACCAGGAACCTGCATTGTTGGCAAGCTCCCTGAGAAATCGGACTGCGTTTTGAGAAAGTCCAGACCGTATGATCCTCAGAAGTCCCCATGACACCCAGTCCTGACACCTGTGGGTGTTGATCAGACGTGGCCCCTTCTTGGAGGTCACTGGCAGAAAGAAAGACGTTTCCCAGAAGGAAGGAATTGACAACGTGGAGTGACTGCGGGTCGGGTGGCTCTCCGCCATCCAGCCTTCGCCTGTCTTCCCTGTCTCCTCTCCCACAAATCCTCTTTCAGATCCTCTGGACTAATCCCGCCGAATAATAGTTCATTCTCCTGCAGACAGAGCACAAAAGAGGCTTCATCCATCGTGCCAGGTTTGACTAGCTGATGGGGCATGGCTTCCTGGGAGAGCGCCAGGATCCGTTAGTAATGTCTGCCGTGAACGCAGGCAGGGGCGGCTGTGGCTCTCTCCCCTCCTGCCCAGGGTCGTGAAACGCCTCCAGGCCTTTGCTTACTCTGTTCCTCCTTCTTGGAAAGCCTTGCTCCTCCTCCGCCTCCCGTTTGTCACTTTTCTCGTCTTTATCACGCGCCTTGCACCTGCCCACAGAGCTGGAGCCTGGTTCTCCCAGGTGAAAGCGATTTCCTCCTCCCAGAGCCTCCCAGGAAGCCTGACCCGGCGTCCACGCTTCGCCTCGAGCATGGCGTTCTGCGCGTTCTCCTCGCTGCAGTCTTGCCTGTTTGTCAGGGTCCGGTTCTGTGTCGGGGTGCAGGCGCCACGCCAGTTCCTCCTTGGTGCAGCTGGGCGTCCCCGAGGGCCGGACTCGGAGCGGGAGGCGGCGGCACTGAGGCTGCTGCCTCGTCTGGGCGGCACTGGCCTGGACTCGTCGCCCGAGGGTGTTGGCTTTTCTGCGAGTGGCAGGTGTGGGCGCTCGGGGGTCCGGGACGCTGGCGGCGAGCTGGAGAAGTTTGGGGTGCTGCGTGTCCGTCTGCCTGTCGGCCGGAGGCGAGAGGAGTCGGATCCAACGACAGGACCACCAGTGGGACCCTCGGGCTCAGTGCGAGTTGGGGGCTGTCAGGGGTCGGCCCTGAGCCCTCTCAGCGGCCACTTGGGGGGACTTTTGAGGTGGGGTGTGCCCTCCCCCTGCCCCAGCACTGACCTCTGTGACCTTCCACGTGACCCCCGCCCCCACCCACACCCCCGGACCTGGGAGAGCACAGCGGGTGGGACGGGGGTGCAGGCTCCTCCGTCTGCCTCTGGCTCCCGTTCTCCAGCCAGGGTTCAGGGCGGCACAAAGGGGGGTCCCCCTACACTGGGGGGCCACACCCAGAGGCCCAGGGGGTCTGTGTCCCGCCGCTCAGGCTGGGCTGTTTGCGTGTGAAGCCCGAGTGGCGGGTGGGGAAGGGCAAGGTCTCCTCTGTCTGTACCCGGGACTCGGGCCCAGAGAGGGAAGGAGATTTTGCCGGAGTCACGCAGCGAGCTAGTGTTGAGGCTGGGGATGGAACCGGGGCCCCCCAGCCCCAGAATTCTTTCCATGTCTCACCAACAGGTGTCATGAGCGGCACTGCCAGGGCCTTCTGTTTTTCTGGACACAGAGTCTCACTCTGTCGCCCAGGCTAGAGTGAGTGCCGTGGCGTCAGCCTCACTCACAGCAACCTCCAACTCCTGGGCTCAAGCGATCCTCCTTCCTCAGCCTCCCGAGTAGCTGGGACTACAGGCATGTGCCACCATGCCTGGCTAATGTTTTCTATGTATTTTTAGTTGCCCGATTAATTTCTTTCTATTTATAGTAGAGACGGGGTCTCACTCTTGCTCAGGCTGGTTTCAAACTCCTGACCTCGAGCGATCCTCCTGCCTCGGCCTCCCAGAGTGCTGGGATGACAGGCGTGAGCCACCGCGCCCGGCCTGCCAGGGCCTTCTGAGAACCCTTCCTGGCCGTCTCACTTGTCCCTTCCCCAGTTGGGGACAAAACCCAGGTGACGTGGGGCTGCCCTGTTCAGACTGGCCCCGCCGCCCCTCCCAGCGCAGCCGCCTCCCCCTCCCGTCCCCTTCTTCGTGCTTTAACGGGCCGTTGCGCTGGGCCTGGCGTGACCGAGCCTGTGTGGGGGGTCTGTCTCGCTGTCTCACCGGCCCTGTCCCGCAGAGCTGAACGTGTCCGTCTCCTACTTGTTGGAAGCGAAAGGAAGCGAGAGTCACTCCCCAGGCCAGAGGAAGCCCCAAACGTGCCCGGTACCGGCCTCCCCTGGCCAGCAGGATCTGTGTCCTCTTTGGGCCTCTGAGTGCTGGTGTCCTGGGGTTCGGGCTCCAGGAGAGCCCTCACGGCTGCTCAGCGCCACCAACCGCCGCCCTGGGGTCACATCGGGCCTCCTGAGAGCCCCTCTGCGCCCCTCACCTGGACTGGGCCCCCCCTCCCCCTCGGCCAGGTGGTCACCTGGGCGTGCCGAGGCCCCTGGCTTAGCTCCCCTGTCCCCAGACCGAGAGCCCCACCCACACGGGTCGCACTCGCGCCGGGCCCTGTGGGAGACACTTCCCAACCCTCGCCTCGCGGTCCTCACGCCGTGTTTCTGTGGCACGGCGCTGCTCTGAGACCCCTTGTTTCCCCCAGTGGAGGCAAATGACCTCATCTCCATTTTACAGGGGGAGGGGGAAACTGAGGCTCAGAGAGCCGAGCTGCCTTGTGGAGTGGCGTTACGTTTGGGCCTGGATTTGGAACCGGGTCCTTTCCAAGTCAAGTCCGGGAGGACTCCCGCTAGAGCGCAGCGTACAGACCGGGACTGGCCGCCCCTCACGTCTGTGTTGGGCTTCTCAGCTGCGAGATTTGCTCCCGGATTTCCCATTGCAGCTTGCACGCTGTGCCGGCATGCATGCTCTACCTCGGTCACTAGTGCTTTCTAGAACGAGCACACACAGCGTCACACGAGTGTTGTGGAGGAATGCCGGAATGAAGGGGTTGTGCGGAGGAGGGAGCAATGGATTGCCTGGAGGAATCAGGGAGGACTTCCTGGAGGAGGTGCCATTCAAGTAGAGCCTTGAAGGCTGCACAGGAGGTGGGCGCTGCTGGCAGAAGCACGGGCGGGTCCTGGCAGGTTTGAGCAGCAGGCTGGGCGCGGACTGTGTTGGGCTCGCAGCAGCGCGGCGAGGGGTCAGGCTATCCGGCGGGGGAGGGGGTGTCCCTTGAAGGGGTCAGGACAGCACAGGACAGAGCAGCCCTAGCCACGCCGCCCACGCCCACGGCCCTGAGCGTGGACATGCGGCGAATGCAGCCGCAGGATTCCATCGCCAGGAAACTCTTAGGCGTGTTTGGGACAATCTGGGCGTGCGAATCCATGTTCAGCCTAGACCCGGCGCAGAGCGACTGCTTCTGGCGCAGTGCGGCCCTGAGCGGGGTGCACCGCGCGGAAGGCGGCGTGGGGAGTCGAGGAGACACTGCACACCGGCTCGCCGACGCCCGGCCCTTCTCGACACGCGGGAACGCCGCTGTTTTACACGCACGTGCGGGCAAATAAAAAATATCACAAGATTAATTTTGCCTCTTTGTTGTTTCCTGTTTTGAACGTGGCTACCAGACAGTGCAGAATTCCACGGGGCGACCGCGCCCCCGTTGGCAGGCGCTGGGCTGAGGCTCCGGCGTGTTCCACAGGCCCCGACACTGCTGCCCGTGACCGGGACCTGCTCTGAGTTCTGCTTTAAAAGGATCCCTCTGAGGCCGGGCGCGGTGGCTCACGCCTGTGATCCCAGCACTCTGGTAGGCCAAGGAGGGAGGATCGCTCAAGGTCAGGAGTTCAAGGCCGGCCTGAGCGAGAGCGAGACCCCGTCTCTACTAAAAATGGAAAGAACTCAATTGGCCAACTAATATATATAGAAAAAATGAGCCGGGCATGGTGGCGCATGCCTGTAGTCCCAGCTACTCAAGGGAGGCTGAGGCAGCAGGATTGCTTGAGCCCAGGAGTTGGAGGCTTCTCTGAGCTAGGCTGACACCACAGCACTCACTCTAGCCTGGGCAACACAGTGAGACTCTGTCTCAAAAAAAAAAAAAAAGATCCCTCTGGGCACCAGGATCGGGGTGTGGCCTGGGGACAGCCGGGCCCAGAAAGAGGCCTCCAGCGGTGGCTGCAGAGACTCCCCGAAGGCCGGGCGAGCCTCTGCCCTGCCTGGCCGCAGGGCGTGGGGTTGGTGGGGGGACAGACGCTGGGCGACGATCTGGGGGTGGGGTGCCCCTCCAGGGGCTGCCAGGCTCTGGGGCCCGACCCCGCGCTCTCCGTGGGGAAAGGCCCTGGGCACAGACGCCAGCCCGGCTGGACACCTGTCTCTGCTCCTCCCAGGACGGGGCCAGGCGTGCCCGGCAAGCGCCCGGAGCAGCAGCGGCAGGAGGAAGGTCCTTTGTGCCTTCCCTGCCCGGCCGAAGCCGCGCCAGGCGCACGGGCGAGTCCCTGCCCTCGGTTGCGGGACTGGGGAGGAGACAGCGGCAGGTCTCCGGGCAGGGCAGCCCCCAGCGAGCGCCCGACCGGGTGGGGGTGGGGACGGCCGCCCCGCCTACCTTGACGATGTCCTCGTTAATGTTCTTGGGGTCCCGGTTCACCAGGTCGATCTCCTTGAAGTGGATGTCCTTCACGATCTGCGCCTCCAGGTCCGAGCGCTCCTCGGCCATCATCGCGGCGGTGTGGCCGGGGCGGAGGGCGCTCGGGGAGACAGGCTGTGTGTCCCCAGACTCCTGTCCCGGCAGCTAAGTAGGCCCCGCCCAGCACGCCGTGACAGCTGTCCCGCATAGCTCCAGCCCGCTGGCGGGCGCCTCCGGGCCCTGGCAGGCCTCCAGGCTAAAATTAAGGCCGGGCTCTCCGGGAAGGCCGCGCGGCTTAACCGGGGCTGCGAGGGGTGCGGGGCCCCAGGACGAGGGAGCAGGTGCCGGGCAGCTTTGCTGAAAGTGGCACTCAGGCTGGGATTGGAGTGTCAGAGGCCAGGCTGCGTCCCGGCTCCGGCCACTGCGGTCCACAGCCTCCCGGGCAGGGCTGGGGGTGCAGGCGCCCGCGTAACCCAGGAGGAGAACGGGGCCCCTAAGTGGCCTGGCCCAGGTCTGATTGGGGCTCGAGACGGAGTCTGGTGCTCTCCCCGCACCCCGGGGTGGGTGGGGACATGGGCACATCCTCGCCTACCGCCCCGCCCTTGGGACTTGTTTTATTTTCCAGCATATGGTGGGGGTACAGATGTCAAGGTTACGTATGTTGTCCTTGCCCCCCCCTCGAGTCAGAGCTTCAAGCGTGACCATCCCCCAGACCAGGCGTCCTCAAACTACGGCCCCCGGGCCACATGCCGCCTGCCTAGCACAATTTATCCGGCCTGCTGGGTGTTTTTGCCACCGCTGCCTGTCCTGCTCAGCAGCCGAGGCGTCCCGGGCCCGCAGTGCGCATGTGTGGAATGTGCACCGCGCTCTCCAACGGCCTCCCACGGTCTGAGGGATGGTGAACTGGCCCCTGTTTAAAAAGTTTGAGGACCCCTGGTCCCGACGGTGCACATCTCACTCATTATGTTTGCATACACCTATCCCCTCCCCCCCACACACGCGAAAGATGTTATTTCTATGTGTTCACTGAGGTGTTGATCCGTTAATACCAGTTTGCTGGTGAGTGCACGTGGTGCTGGTTTTTCCATTCTTGAGACACTTCACTTAGTAGGATGGGCTCCAGCTCCATCCAGGAATATACAAGAGGTGCTAGATCACCATTGTTTCTTAGAGCTGAATAGTACCCCATGGTGTACACGCACCACATTTTATGAATCCACTCATGGATTGATGGGCACTCGGGTCGTTTCCACAGCTTTGCAATTATGAATTGTGCCGCCATAAACATCCGAGTGCAGGTGTCTTTTTCATAGAGTGACTTTTGATCTTTTGGGCAGGTGTCCAGTAGTGGGACTGCTGGATCAAACGGTAGATCCACTTGCATCGCTTTGAGGTCTCTCCGCATTGCTTTCTGCAGAGGCTGCGCTGGCCGCAGTGCCACCTTGGGACTGCTGAGACCTCTCCAGCACAGGAGGAGAACAGAGCCACCCTCGAAGGGGCCGTGAAGTGCCTTCCTCCGGACGGAGGTTGCGGGTGTCTGGAGGCGAATTCCTTGGGCAGAGGGACCTGGCCCCAGCTCTCCACCCGCTCCGTGTCCTGGGACAGGGACAAGTAACGATAGGTCCCCGCGGCGAGACAGGGTTTGCAGTGCTGCAGACGAGCCGGGCGGGCTGGGGAGGCCGTGTGAGTTAAGGGTGTCATTAGAAAGATCACCCGGCTCGGCCGTTCCCGTGTCTGCTTCCGCCGCAGCGGGTTACAGTCGCACAGGGACTGGACTGGGGGTTCACTGCAGGGCGCCTCATGACCCGATGTGAGGGGGGTCCCCAGTCCTTGTCGTGGGGAGGACAGTACCGTGTTTCCCCGAAAATAAGACAGGGTCTCATATTTCTTTCCCTTAAGAAGACACCCTAGGGCCGGGCGTGAGGCTCACGCTTGTAATCCCAGCACTCTGGGAGGCCAAGGTGGGTGGATTGCTTGAGGTCAAGAGTTCGAGACCAGCCTGAGCAAGAACGAGACCCCATCTATAAATATAAAGAAATTATCTGGGCAACTAATATATATAGAAAAAAATGAGCCAGGCATGGTGGCACATGCCTGTAGTCCCAGCTACTCGGGAGGCTGAGGCAGGAGGATCGCTTGAGCCCAGGAGTTTGAGGTTGCTGTGAGCGAGGCTGACGCCACGGCACTCAACTCTAGGCCTGGGAACAGAGTGAGACGTCTGTCTCAAAAAACAAAAAAAAAAAAAAAAAAATGACACCTAGGTTATTTTCCAGGGATGTGTTTAATTTTTTAAGGTACGGTACAACCAATCTAGCATTGATTGCAAACAGAGTGAAGTAATCTTCTTTCTGCGAACATGCTCCTCACATCTCCAAACCCCGAGAATCGCCATCCTGAATTGTCCTTGCGACTCTGTTTCCTATTTTTTTTAGCACCATCCGGCCCGATCTCTCCTTGACGGAGGCACTAGAGGCCCTGTCACGGGGCGGATGGGCTGCTCGTGTTCTTTCCCGCTCGCGCACGACACGCACGGGTGTGCAGACGCTGCGCAGCACGCGGGCATCAGGGCTGATTTTCGGGTGGGGCTTCTATGGCCACCGTGCTAGACATCGCTGCTGGGGCTTGTTTCGTGGGCAGGGCTTATTTTCGGGGAAACGCCGGTGGCTTGGAAGCCCACCTCCACTCCCTGGGAAATCTAAGCCCCTCCCCAAACCCAGGCCAGTCCCCAGGAGGCCCTTTCTCGCTCTAGCGCTGAGCGGCTGCTGCTCCAACGGCAGGCCACCCTGGTCTCTCCAGTTTGCTCTCGATCTGCGCCCAGACTTAAAACCCGAAATCCTCCTCGAGGCGGAGATCTTCGTGGGGCGGCAGGACATGGCAGCCGCTCACCGGGCGAGGATCGGGAAGGAGCAGAGGGAAGGCTGGGTTTACCACATGACAGCCGTGAGTCAGGCAGGGGACGTCCTCGTGTGACCCTCCCGAGACTTGAGCCCCCGTTTTGAGGCTTGTTCAGTCTCGGTTCTCTCTTTCCTTCTTTCCTTCTTCCCACTTTCTGGAAACCCCAGCAAACTGCAGTTTCCATCCCTGCTGTTTACTCTTTTTTTTTTTTTTTGAGACAGAATCTCACTCTGTCACCTGGGCTACAGTGCCGTGGCATCAGCCTCACTCACAGCAACCTCAAACTCCTGGGCTCAAGCTGATCCTCCTGCCTCCAGCCCTCCAGTAGCTGGGACTAGCAGGCATGTGGCCCACAGGCGCCAGCCTAATTTTTTTCTTATATATTTTTAGGATGGCCATTAATTTCTTTCTATTTATAGTAGCAGACGGGTCTCGTCTCTTGCTTGCAGCTGGTCGTCGAAGCTCCCTGACCGCTTTAGCGACCTTCCCGCATTGGCCTCCCAGAGTGCTGGGATGACAGGGTGAGCCCCCGCCCGGCCTGAAGCTCGTCTTTGCTGCCACGTTGCCCGTCGGGGCGGGCCTCCAGTCCACACCCTCTGCCGGTGCAGGTTTTCTCACCCAGTGGTCCGGTGTCCCCTTTGTCCGCAGGGAAGGCGGCCGGTCCGTTCCTGAGTGGCTGCCATGGGGATCACGGCAGGAGGCTGTCCCAACAGGTCACCTTGAGAAAGTCGCATAAACTCAGGGAGAATCACCCGGCGTTCATCAGGACTAAGCTCTCGGGGGGAAAATAATCCGAAAGCACAGAAATAATATATCGGGTTGCAAAGATGGCCTCGCAAGAAACATAGCTGCAGGCTTCCAAAATTTTGATTGGAGTAGCCGGCCACCGTCTTGTTCGCAGCCGAGTTTCCTTTGAGCTCTGCCTCGGAACACAGCATGGATCGGCCGGCAAGCTGACTCCGCGGCCGCCCGGGCGGGCGGCACGGCTGGGCTGGAGGCTGGAGCAGGACACGGAGGTTGGCCTCACCTCCCTGAGCCGGGCCGTCTCTCCCCTCTGTCCTGCCAGCTGTCCCCACCGCAGTCAATTTCTTTTTTCTTTTTTTTTTTTTTTTGGAGACAGAGTCTCACTCTGTCTCCCAGGCTAGAGTGAGTTGCCGTGGCGTCCAGCCTAGCTCACAGCAACCTCAACTCCTGGGCTCAAGCGATCCTCCTGCTCAGCCTCCCGAGTAGCTGGGACTACAGGCATGCGCCAACCGACGCCGGACTAATTTTGTTTATATATATGTTGTCCAGGCCTATTTCTTTGCTAGTTTATAGGAGAGACGGGGTCTGCTCTTGGCCAGGCCTGGTCCTTGAACTCCTCGGCGATGAACTCCGACCAGAAGCAATCCTCCCACCTGGGCCTCCCAGAGTGCTAGGATGACAGGCGTGAGCCACTGCGCCTGGCCACCAGCTGTATTTTGTAAGTTGAAAAGCCAAAGAATCCCTCCCTTTCTAACCAAGGAAAATGTTTATGCCCTGGTGAGAAAGCAAATCCCTCTTTTGTCAAGTAAAGCTAAAAGAAGAAGACATTTTCGTAGAACGTGCATAATTATTCAACATGTTTAAATAAGTTTATCTGGGTGCCTTCTACAGTTGCTTTGTGTTTCCCTGGTGGTAGCCATGGAAACCGCTCCCTGGGAAGCCCTGGGTAAAGGAAGGCATCTTCCCGCCTGGGCATCCCAAGGGCTTCGGACTGAGGCTGGGTCAGGAACCGAGACCGCAGCGACCCCTGGTGGCGGTCTCTGCTCCAGCGGACCACGGAATCCCTGGCTTGGCCTGGCTGGAAATCCCAGCCGGACAGCAGCCACCTGCACCCCGCTGCTGCCTCGGTTCCGCCCCACCCTGTTCCCAGCCACAGCTCCTTTTTGAGACAGAGTCTCACTCTGTCGCCCGGGCTAGAGTGAGTGCCGTGGTGTCAGCCTAGCTCTCAGCAACCTCAAACTCCTGGGCTCAAGCGATCCTCCTGCCTCAGCCTCCCGAGTAGCTGGGACTACAGGCATGCGCCACCACGCCCAGCTAATTTTTTTTCTATATATTTTTAGTTGTCCAGCTAATTTCTTTCTATTTTTAGTAGAGATGGGGGGGGGGTCTCGCTCTTGCTCAGGCTGGTCTCGAACTCCTGAGCTCGAGCGATCAGGCGTGAGCCACCACGCCCAGCCTGTTCTTTCTGACTTTTTGCAGCTGTCCTTCTGCTCCCTGCTGCTGAGCAGGGCCTGGCTGCTCTGGTCTGTG